TTTCCAATCTATGGTTTGCATTACTGCATCTGTTAGAATTTTAGTTCTTCTGAAATAATACAGAGTCTGTTATTTGAACTCAAGGAATCCTCTACTAAACACAAATGCTTATCACTAATTCTCCAGAGACAATTAACAATACAGCATAAGTAAAGATGCAAGACAGTTTATTACTGCACTTTGGTCTTTACTCACTCATTGCATTTTGTTGGAGACTTGGGGGGGGGGGGTCAACTCTGAATACATGAAGGAAGACATTGCTCAAAAATTGCCCATATAGTAGATCACGTTTTCTACGTTTGGAGTGAAAAACATTACACAAGAGATATAAGTTTTGATTAGACAGTTTTCTGAACACTGATGTGTGTAAACTGTTATGTTACTTCTCCATGATTATATGCAATTTTTATCATCTATATGTACCTCAATTTCTATATTCTCATAATTTGCATTAAGCCATACAAAAAAACAGAACTTGAAATGAATCTTATGAAACCTCCCAAACAATAAAGATAAGAGCAATATACCTCAGTCATTTAATGACTTCCTATGTCCAGGAATTTACCTTGCTAAAAATATATTCATTCTAAACTTTCATTCAGATTGGCCACCTCTGGGGACATAGTACATCTTAATGTTACAGTATTATTTTACCAGTAACAGCAGTAATTGAACCTGAAATTGTTTTTTGCATAGAATTATTTCTGCTACAGATAATATAATATGGATATGGGTTATTCAGAGGTCATTCTTCCAAGGTTTGTTCTGCAATACCTATTGTCTGGATCTGTACATTATTTGTGTACAGGGATTTTACATCTAAAGTAACTAATAAATCATGTCCCTTTACCTTAAGTATGTGAACAACAAATCATGAAGGACTCTGAACAAAGAAGAATCAACGTGAGCTGTAGGTCAATTTAACTCAACAGGAACCTTCTGCACTTTGGGAAATGAGTAGGGATGCATCAATGGGCATAAAGGAAGCAGAGAGAGGAGGAAGAAATCAAGAGACAAATTATCTGTTATAGGCTGTTGCTTCTCTTATGTGAGAGATCCAACTATTCAGCAAAGTGATACAGTGGTTACAGTGTTTGATTAGAATGGGGAAAGGCACATCGTCTTCATTATCACTATCATTGTCATCATCCTTGCAGAGACTATGTAACAAGAGATCGCAAAGAGACCACTAAACAAGCATACATTTTTGAGGTTCAAAAACTGTTACACTGATCATGGATTTTAAAATACCATAAAAAGAAAACATTTGAACATGAGTGGAACACTCTTATAATTTTTGAAGGGAACATCAATCCAGTTAATATAAATATTTTAGTGTTAACTGTTGTACAAATAATATTAGCTAAAATACTAAATATTACAGAACAAAGCTTAGAAATGTTCTGCTCTTTAATAGAGAATTACTCCATATTCCAGAAAGTGCAGACAATTGCAATTGACATTGCAGTTAGTAGTGGAAAGGAGGAACATTCTTCCAATGGTAACATATTGCATTTTGAATACTGGGAGGTGAAATAAATCCACAACCGAAGTGATAAACTGAAGAAAGACCTTGAAATGCACATCCTTCTACCCTGGTGACAAAAATTAACAGCTGCATTGATTGTTCCAAAAGCAATAATCTAGAAAGGTCCTAAATGTCATTATTTATTTTGGTTTACCAACTGTTATTGTTATCAACAGCCTTCTAAAGAAGTAAAAAAAAAATCCCACCAAACTTATCTCAGTTAATATTTCTACCAGAGACAATACAATACAGGTACAAGTCAATTAGAGGTCATTTTTCCAAATCTGTTCTGTAATAACCATTGTCTGGATCTGTCAAATACCAGTATAATTTTCAAAACTACTTCACAAGAGAATAAAGCTTGATTACTCTGGTTTTCCAATGTGTTAACATATATATTGTTCAAAATTAATTAGACAAACTGTGACCATATGAAAATCCACCCAGATTATCAAATAGGACAAAGCTGTAACAGAAATACTGTATTTAAGATTCCAAACATAGCCCTCTCTCTTCTGATATGAATAGCAGCAGAAACAGAAACAAAAACAAAGAAACCCAAAGAAACACACAGACACACAGAAAAACACACAGAGGAAGCACAGAACACTCAAGTGTTCCTGATTTTTCACCTTGTTGAATCCAGAAGTTGTTCAATCCACCACACAACAAGATACTACCTTCTAGTTCTTTCATATTATCAGTTGTAAAGCTATTTTGAAAGCCATTTCTTCACTAATATAAAGTAAGTAAAGCAGGCTACATAGGATAAACTTTATACTATTTCTTAAGGTGGCGTATTAAGCTTATATATCAGTCCTGTCTCTGACAACTTTAATGTTTTATTTAAACCACAGTAAGACATGATGCCTCACTGCATATCCAATCTTTACTCTGGGGCTGCTGTGTTATGAAAACCCAGCAAGTATGAGTTATACAAGGGCTCATAACCTTGCAAAACTGTTGTGCTGTTCTATAACCCTCAGAAACCCATATTCAGTGGGTTCACATACAAAATGACAACCCCTGAATGAGAGTTGGATATGCAAATTGGTGGCAAGGAGTGTTTTGCACAGCCTCACCGTGGGTTTCTTGTATCATGCAAACTGGCTCACTAGAAGCTAAATTGCACTATTTTAAAGAGTGTGACACAGTACATCAAATTAGAACTGAAGATATAAACACAATAAATACTAGAGTTGGAACTCAACAGTATGAAAAGTTCATATTCACATTTGGGTTGAGATCATTAAGATCTGTATAGAATATGACAATGAGTAATTAAAACTAAAGCTATCCAGTGAGACAACACAGGATAACTACAGGAATGTGAAATGTACACTAAAAGTATTCTTTAAAGACGTTGGCAATTCCTATGCATTTTTAGCCAGAAAAATCTCTTAAATCCCAGCAGCCCCATGACAACCAAACTGGAAGTTATAGGACTTTTTTCTGTCTAATATGCTGGTGCCCTTCATGTATTACAAAAAGTCCTCAACACTTCAATTTGTTAGTTCATAGAGGATCATCATGTTAGCCACCTTGGGCTCCTTGAAAAATGAAAAAGTGATGTATAATTGCAGTTTAACAAAAATATATTATCAGTGAAGTGATTATTCACTTCAAAAACGACTATGATTTTTTTCAATATGTATAAAAATGAGAGGGAAACAAGATTTCTAAAAATTAACAAGAACACCTACAAATAAGATTAATCAACTTAGGGCACAATCTCCCATAACCTCTTGTTTGTGGGGTGGGGAGGAGATCACAGGATTGATCAGAACTCCAGCTCTGACCATGGAAAAATACTCCAAGGCTGGAGTGGGACTAACCTTAGAGCAGGGGTCTCAAACTTGCGGCCCGCGGGCCAGTGGAATACTTGATGCCGCCCAGCCTCACCCAGACTCTACTTCCAGCAGCCCTCAGGTAAGTTGAGTTTGAGACCCCTGCCTTAGAGAGACCACCTTCCAACCCTTTCAGCCAATGAAATTCTTTGCAAGCCAACTGGGCTCTGAAGACAGACTACCTTTGCAGCCAGTGTGGAGGAAGTATTCTGGGATCTGAGGAGGATAGGAATGAGGTACCACTGTCCTCCAGGAAATCCCAATGAAGCCTTAGCCTCTATTCCTTGTGAAGATGGATAAACGTTCAGATAGCTGAAACTGGCCATCTAAATAATTTGGAGAATGGAGGAATACAGAGGTAATCTTGGCTGCCATCCTCCTGCAACCTTCCATTGGATACCCTTAATTCCCTGAGTTTGTACGGTTACAAGCAACCACATTAGATGGCACCCTTAAACTAGTGTTGATTATTTTTAGGGCAGCCCAAAGTTAAACACTACTCATCAGTCTTTCTCCTTGTTCAATCCATTTCCAGTGGTATTCAAAGTAAATATTAATCTTCTGATAGTCATTTTATTATCATATTACTATAAATGGCTTCCTGATCAGAATGTTTTATATAAATGTTGCAGCCACTTGAGCTGGTTTAGTCTAACTGAACTGAAATAACCTAGTTTAGCAGGCCTGTGGTTTGTAATTCACTTTGCTGATATACTACAATGGCACATTTCCTTGAAATACAGTGGTTCCTTGGCTCACGAACTTAATCCGTTCCAGGACTCTGGTCATGACCCAAATTGGTCGTGTGCCAAGTTAAATTTGCCCATAAGGTTCAATGTAAATATGGTTAATCTGTTCTGTAACCATTTTTTAAAGTCAGAAAAAATTGAAACAAAGTGACAAGAAAGATCGTGGCCATCTCCCCCCCCCCCCACCCCAAGCACAAGTGCACCCATCTCCCCATCTTCCTCAGAATGACTGAGATCGTGCCTGTCATCCCTGCAGGCTTCTGTCATCCCTGCAGGCGTCTGTCATCCCAGTGTGCTGGGGAGTGGAGGGAGAGATGGCGTGATCATGGGTGCACTGGGGAAGGGAGAGATGGGTGCAAACGGTGCGCTGGGGATGGGGAGATAGCCCTGATCACAGTTCCGTTCATGCAGGGAAGGTGTGCCTGATCAGAGGCGCGCTCCTGCAGGAAAGACAGGCAGAATCTCAGCCATCTCCCCCACAGCTCTGCTTTGCTGCTCCCGTCTTTCCTGCAGGAATGGAACTGCAATCTGTGATCAGAGGAGCACGGCTGCACTAAAGACGGGTGCAGCAAAGCAGAGCCGCGAATCCGCTTGTCATTCGTGCAGCCGTGCTCCTCTGATCACGGACGCCTTCCCTGCACAAAAGCAACTGCGCGGCTACACGAATGACACGCGGATTCGCAGCTCTGCTTTGCTGCACCCGCCTTTAGTGCAGCTGCACTCCTCTGCTCACGGAGGCCTTCCCTGCACAAATGGAACTGCGATCGGAGCCATCTCCCCACCGGGGGGGAGAGGCAGATGGCTGCAATCTTGATCACCACCCAAAGTGGTGTTCGCGACCCAAGTAAAAGTTTTTCAGTAATTTTTGTACATTACCTGATCTGTTCGTGAACCAAGGCGTTCGTGAGCCGAGGTACCACTGTACTTTATTTCAAGGTGTTTTCACCAAATCAGGAAATAATCACAATGCCCATGTACCAGTCTTTGCTTCTGTAAGAAATAAAAACAAGAAAGAATCATATTCTGCCTTTATATTCCATTCTGACCTTCAAGTAGGTTTATATGAGAAAAATACACTTAAATTTTGGATATGTCTATCTCCAAAGAACGAAAATACCCTCAGTGTTTACACTGCAATAATGTAAGATTGTGGTGCTATATGTATAGGTTTATTGTGTAGCCTTGTATAGACAGGAAGGACTAAAAGGTTTTGAAAAACATATTTACCTGTTCAACCAATCAAATAATCACATCTAAATAATCATGTTCCAAAAATAAAGAAGTGTTTGCAGAAGTGTAAATGCTACATTGCTATTTCTTCCTATTTTCAATGTTTGCACTGTTAATGTATTTGTTTAAATATGTTTTTTCTCAGTGACTCAAGTCAGACTCTGTCTAAGAAAAGACTGCTTTTTGTTCAAGACATCAATATTTAGACCATTCTTAACAAATACTTGGTTCTCAGCCATGTTAATTAATTATATTCACACAATTGAAGGAATTTGCACCTGTTTTTTTGAAGCTATACCCTACACTAGGTCTCATACAAACGATTCACACAACCCAAAAACTACAAAAGCAAAAATTTATATGGACTGTGGAACCAAAGAGTGCAGATGATGGTTTAGTCAAATCATTTTTCCAATAGTTTAGAATGAAGACAGACTATACTTTGATCATGCCACTCACTGGATAGTATCCAATCAACAGTTTCCCATACATGACACAAGCCAACACTTGTGCAACATAAATAACACTTCCTTAGCAATAAGCAAGTTGTCACCAAATTTTCCAAATCATCACTCCTAGCAAAGAATAGGATGCTCCAAGTTTCATCATTTCTTTGTCTTCTCCAAATTGGTAGTTGCAGTAGTTCATTGCTCTAACACAAAAAATCTTGATCAGACAGCTGAGGTTTCACAGAACAAAATACCTGTAACCTTACTACCCCAGGCATCAATTAGCACATTTATTAGTTTATACGTTCAACCTTTGTTTGTATGACTGAGCTAATTAGTTCCATTTCCATCATGAAAAATCTTGATAGATTTATAGTGGTCACTCGTAAGCAGGCTGGCTTTCTGCCATTTTGTAAGATTAGATCTATTTAACAAAGAATTCAATGTTTTTAAAAGAATGTCTATAGAGAGTATGTGGAAGAGGTGAGCCCGTGGCCTTTAGACAGCAACACAAGATATACTGGATTCCCAGATCCAAGGTCAGAGACAACCTTCTGATCTCAGAAGAGAGAATTGGAACTCCAACCCCTGCATTCCACCCCCATACAGGCAGTGAGCAAAGAACTATAATGGCTGTGTGTCTGGGACTGGGAACAGTACAGAACAAGACAGGTAAAAGGGTGTGCTTCAGTCAGTGAGGGCTGGGAAGAGACTGGAAGGTTACACTATGAGCTATCCTGATGCTTACACTGCCTCCTTCCATCAGCCTCAAAAACACTTTTAATATATGCACAAAAAGACTTTCTAGGAAAAAAAATGAAAGACAGCAAGATGGGGGCAAAAGGATCACCTATGCCTCTCTTCCCACCTTGCGTGGGATGTTCCTAAGCCTCCAAATCTGGGGCTTAGACTCCTTGTAATGGCACTGCACAAACCCTTAGAATATTTATTAACTAATTCACATGTTCTCAGTTAAGCAAGTGTCAGGGATAGCTTCTTGAGTTAACCTTCTTGTTGTCTACATATTCTAACATTTTAATTTTCTGATCAAGCGGGAGTCACCAATTATCTCTATTCAAAAATGTATAATACTTAGTATGAAAGATTATGCACAATTAAATTGAAATAAAATTTAGTTTATCTACAAATTTCATCTGTCATAGCACATTTAAGCATCCAGACAACATATGAAGCAAGTACATTGTTTGTACTGCACATTTTTTTCTGGTTTCATATGAAAGTTAAAGGTCTAATGAGAGAAAGCTGAAAAGCAATAGAATATCTTTGCTTCAGACAGTCTGAAGGCAGAACACACAACAATGTACTTAAGGTTGGGTTATTATTTGGCTGTGTAACATCATTTTAAAGCTATATGAAGGCCCCTCATTCCAAAAGAACATGTCTGAGCTGCATATTTCTAGACAGACGAACAAACAGACAGACAGAGAATTGCATCCTTATCCAGCAATTTCTTATGGGCATGGGAGCTCTCTATTGAGGCAATGACATCTGATAGGTTGGTGTTCTACTTCCTTAAATACAGTGGTACGTTGGCTCACAAACTTAATCCGTTCCAGGACTCTGGTCGTGACCCAAATTGGTTGTGAGCCAAGTCAAATTTCCCCATAAGGTTCAATGTAAATAAGGTTAATCTGTTCTGTAACCACTTTTTAAATCAGAAAAAATTGAAACAAAGTGACAACAACAAAGATTGCGGCCATCTCCCCCCTCACCCCAAGCACAAGCACGACCATCTCTCTCCCCCGACCAGCACGACTGAGATCATGCCTGTCATCCGTGCAGGTGCCCGTCATCCCGGCGCGCTGGGGGGGTGGGGGGGAGAGATGGGCGTGATCGCGGGTGCACTGGAGGACAGAGAGATGGGCACAAACGGTGCGCTGGGAGTGGAGAGATGGCCTTGATTGCAGTTTCGTTCATGCAGGGAAGGTGTGCCTGATCAGAGGCGCGCTCCTGCAGGAAAGACAGGCAGAATCTCAGCCATCTCCCCCACAGCTCTGCTTTGCTGCTCCCGTCTTTCCTGCAGGAATGGAACTGCAATCTGTGATCAGAGGAGCACGGCTGCACTAAAGACGGGTGCAGCAAAGCAGAGCCGCGAATCCGCTTGTCATTCGTGCAGCCGTGCTCCTCTGATCACGGACGCCTTCCCTGCACAAAAGCAACTGCGCGGCTACACGAATGACACGCGGATTTGCAGCTCTGCTTTGCTGCACCCGCCTTTAGTGCAGCTGCACTCCTCTGATCACAGAGGCCTTCCCTGCACAAATGGAACTGCGATCGGGGCCATCTCCCCACCGGGGGGGGAGGGGCAGATGGCTGCAATCTTGGTTGCCACCCAAAAGCGGTGTTCGCGACCCAAGTAAAAGTTTTTCAGTAATTTTTGTTCGTTACCCGATTTGTTCGTTAGCCAAGGTGTTCGTGAGCTGAGGTACCACTGTAATTTGGAAAATGCAACTTGTATTACTCTACTTCTCAGAACACAATTTTATATGTTGATTTTTATGCAGATATTTTCAGTTTTTGCCATTAATATATCCAAGTCATTCAGCAATTGTTTGTTGTTGTTTTTTAGTGTAGGTAACATAATAAAATCTTCCTTGTTTACACTGTAATGACCTATGGTTATAAACAATTAAACAAGCTGAGCTGACTATACAACAATATGGACATTTAGACTACAGATACCAAACAGAGCCAGTCTGGTGGGATAAAGCTCTACAGTTTGCAGCTGAATAACTATCGTAAGCAAAGCAGTATTTATGCATGGTCTTTCACTTCATAAATCCACTGAAGAAAAGTGATATTTAGTCGTAAAACTATAAAAATATGCAACATACACATGAGAGAGACAAGCAGACAACAGACTCTTTTTTCAAAGTTGAAATCACTAGTAATAATGAATTAATTGGATTAGCTTTCAAAATGCATTTGGGTGCCCTGACTGTATATATCTGAAATACATTTGTTCATTAACACTGAAACATTTCACACTATTCAGTAATGTATTCCCAGACATATAATTTTGTCCATTGCTGTTGATTACACACACAGGAAAAGAATTAAATCTGCCATTTGTCATTACAAAGTAAGATTTATATATGCTGCAATAGATCAAGCAAGGTATGTCCTTGATGCCAAAGCACCCTCTAATGGCTACCCAATGGCCTACATGCTGGAGTAACCTAGAAAGCTTTCTGATCATGAAGGATACTAAAAAGTTATGCAAGGAACAACTGATTGTAAACCTATATGCACCCACAGGTACAACAGAGTTAAGAGTTTTCAGTATGTAAAGGGAAAGAAAATGAGTGCATATTTAACAAAGCCAAATATTTATATTTGCCGTTTTCCATGTTATGAGGAGCAGAAGTCTAAAAGATGAAAAATTTCCCATCTCTGTAGAAAAAGCTTAACCAACTTAAATTCTTCTACCCATACAAAGTCTGAAGAACTCTATATCTAGACAACACGTATGACTAGTTTTCTGTGCAGATCCTAACCTACCAGACACAACCAAGCATGGTTAAACCATCATGCTTTGGGGAAGGGCCATTCATCAGCTGCAGATCATCTGAAAACCAGGAAAGCAAATGACAGCTGGTATAGACAGTACAGCACTAAATATAACAGGTCTGACTTGGTATAAACCAGCTACCTGCCCTTTAGACTGGAACACTGTCCAAGCTGCTGTGTAATCCTTATCAATCTAATCAATACTGCCCTAGCCCCAAGAACTAGGTTGCTTGGTGCTTAAGGGTAAACTGGGCATACCTTCCCATTTTATTAGGGCAATGTTGTTTTGATAAATGAAAATCTAACAGCACAAATCTAATAACAAAACAGATGCTGTCTTTGGTTATTCATAGATATACTAATATGTTTTATACAAGACTACGGAATTGGTCCAGAGCTCATCACCAAAAAATGGCTTCATGATAAAAACTCAGATCTAAAATACTGAACATTTTGTTTATACTTTAAACTGGCCTGAAGGTTGACTCTGGCAAAAATACATACTCTGACTGGTTTAGGCTGGAGGCATCCAAAGGGTAATTTCTGTTTCTAGACAGCAATCATTTGGTGACCTTAGTAAGAGCACTGGCTGGCATGAGAAAATAGTATGTAAGATGCATGCACAGTTTCTTCTCTGAGGAGATGGTGTTAGGGCTAAAGGGCTCCCACAATCAAAGTTACAGAACAATTTACTCAGCACCAAAAAGACCAATTGATAAATGCTTATTTCCCAGGTGCAAACAGATGAAAAAGGTACTCCTTTTGAGCTGCCAAACCAAC